CATAATGGTAATAATATAACTACACTGATAATACTACTACAAGATCTGGTGATAAATTGGATAATTATAGACGATAACAGCAATAACAAACACAACAGCAAAAGCAAAAAGCCTTTTTTCCTTCTCCTTGTTCTTCTTCTCCTCTTCTTCTTCTTTTTCTTTTTCTTTTTCTTTTTTTTTTTTTTTTCTTTTTTCTTTCTTCTTCTTCTTCTTCTTCCTCTTTTTCTTCCTCTTTGTTTTGCCTACCAATAAAACCAACTCACGGACTCCAGAATTCCAAATAAGTAAATACGATACGGAGAAAGAGGGAAGCAGAGAGGGAGAGAAAAAGAGAGGGAGAGCGAGAGAGAAAAAAAACAGCTTCATCTCGTAAAAAGGACCTTCTCGTGCAGCGGTTCTGCAGCTGTTCGGCGAAGGAAGTCAGGAAGGAACTCGATTTGCGTTATCATCTCTGGCCTTATACGTCTTGCGCGAAGGATGTGTGCGGTGAATCCTGATTGGGGATTTTTTTTTTTTTTTTTTTTTTTTTTTTTTACGTTCGTATGGTTTCGTTCTTTTGAGATTTTTTTGTTTGTTGGTTGGTTTTTGTATTTTTTTTTTATATATATATGTCTAATTCTGTATTTCTTTCTCGTTCTCTCATAATTCTGTTTGTCTTTCTGTTTGGCAGGCTGGCTCTCTCTCTCTCTCTCTCTCTCTCTCTCTCTCTCTCTCTCTCTCTCTCTCTCTCTCTCTCTCTCTCTCTCTCTCTCTCTCTCTCTCTCTCTCTCTCTCCTCTATCTTTCTTTGTCTATCTATCTCTGAGTTACACTATTTGTCACTGACTTTGTAACTAAACTGTACAACAAGTATTTCTATCATTCTAACGAAAATATACGAAAATATTAGAAAACTGACCACGATTATAGATTTGATCCATCGCAGGTCAGCTACGAATTAGACGGCCATGAGGTATTACGCAATACATATTAGAGAAACGAAGATCACTCGGATAAATAGATACAATTAATCATAAGCAACGAATACCTACGTCATACAAACGTTCATTCAGAAACAGCCACATACACCGTTGGCTGGAGACGCACGGAGCACTATCCTCGCCCCAAAGTCCCCGCGATTTTATCCCCTAACTACCGCCAGATGTCGCGCTTGTTCACGCCGAAGCCACATAAGTCATCGTCACCAACTTCATCACAAGAGTCATCACTAAGACGGCGGAAGGAAGTAACGGCCACCATATGGTTTCCCGGGGGGGGGGGGTCCTTTGATCACCATCCATGCTTTGTCTTGATCTCGTCATCCTCATCATCCTCTGTCTCCTTCTCTCCTTTCTCTTTCTTCTTTTCTTCTTTGTCTATCTACTCAGCCTTTAGAATTTTTCCTTCTTTCTCCTGCTTCTTCTTTTCCTCCTCCTCATCATCATCACCATCATTATCATCATCATCATTATCATCATCACCATCACAATCACCATCACCATCATCCTCTTCCTCCTCCTCCTTCTCTATCTCCTCCTCATTAACCATCTCCTCTTCCTCCTCCTTAACCTTCTTCCCTTCTTTTTCTTACCCTTTCCCTTCTCTTCTTACTCTTCTTTTACCTCCATCTATCTCTTCCTCTTTATTCCGGTTCATCTCTTTGCTGTCATTGTACAATAAATCTCATTATATTATCTTTCTTATATCTCTCCCCATCATCAAATCAAACGACGAGAGACTGACATAACTAAATGACATCCATCCATCAACTCTGACATCAAACTAGCATGACATACTATTAATAACATCATCAATAAAACTCAAAATCTTCATATAAAATCTACTTCCGATCTTAGAATCCTAAAACACACACTGACGGTTAACAATAAAACCAATATTGAAGATGGATACACAGTGTCATATATATGTCAACGAGAAATATTTAAGGAGCTACATAGGCCTTAAATATTCGTTTTCTCAGCTACTGTTTCAATATTAGGATAAGGTTTCGGTAACATGAGAAAGGAAGCAACAGGTTATTGACTGTTCCTTGTGACTTTCACCATACAGACAGATATGTCGAATAAGTAGATTTATGTCATTGAAGATAGATTCAATCCACTGAATTATCTCTTCTATTTATTTATTTTGAATTCCATATGCGAGTTACTCATAAACAGTAAAAAATTAACAAATTACCTTGGAGGAAAAAGGCAAAATAAGAACTATGTTATTTCTTTTTATACAGCAAGGTTTCTCTGCTCAGGCCTTGACAGTGAAACCACTTTCCCTCACAGCTGACTCCAATGGGTTTTCTTTTTCACTGTGGCAGTAATTTATGAGTGAATATGCGTGCATGTGGTGTGTGTGTGTGTGTGTGTGTGTGTGTGCGTGCGTGTGTGTGCGAGTGTGTGTGTGTGTGTGTGTGTCTGTGTGTGTGTGTGTGTATAAGGGGGAACATGTTTATTTATTTGCTTGAATGTTTCAAATATATATATTCATTTTTTTTCTCTCTATCTATC